CAGGCAAAATGGGATCAGCTCATGCCCAGGTTCTGCTTCAACTTCCTGTGTTATCTGACCTATGTGCTCATCTTCACCGCTGTTGCCTACTACCAGCCAGCCCTGGACCAGGCAAGTTGAGGGACAGAGTCCCTAGGGAGGCCTGCTTGAAATAACCCTGGAGGGAGGTGGGGCAGGGACCAGTATCCCCATCCTACAAAGGCAGCCTGAGTGAGGCCCTCAGCCCGCTAGTACTAATGACTCTTACTGAGGGCTCACCACATGTGATTGATGTGTGTCAACTCAGGACTGCTCACAACTGCCCTCTGAGATAACAAACTATTACCACCCTCAGTTTACCTTTGAAAGACAGGAGGCACAGAGAGGTCAAGGACCATACCTGATGTCTGTCTGTCTGTCTGACTGTCTCTGACACACAAGCAGACAGACAGACAGACAGACAGACAGACAGACAGACAGACACACATACACACACACACACACACACACACGCACACACACAGTGGTGGAGTCAGGATCTGAACCCAGGCAGTCTGGCTTTACACCCCATGGTGATAACCGCAGCACAGTGTGCCTCCCAAGGCATTAGAATCCAGGACCTTTTTCCCCACAGACCGTGCTGCTGCTGCTGCTCTGTAGTGTAGGTTCCAATTGGGCCTCAGCTGGGGTCCTATGTGCTGGGGACACTACCTTACGGCCTAGGTCTTATCTGAGTGTTTATGTGTCTCCAGCAGGGCATATGGTTGGATTCGTTGTCCAAAGCCCCCTTGCTGCTGGTGGGCCACATCTTGATCCTCCTTGGGGGTATCCACCTCCTCCTTGGCCAGGTGAGGGCTTCTCTCCCTTTCCCTACCCTATGTGGTTCCAATAAACCGAGAAGGAAACTTAGGATTCTGCTACAGAGCAGGGAGTTAGGAATGATCCCGTGTCTCCAGGCAGTGGAGGCCACAGCTTGTAGCCTGGGTTTCTGGGGCTTGGGTACCCCCTATTTTGTGCAATATGGAACATCTCTGGGGTAGCAGATGGGTTCTCTGACTCTTTGCCAGTCTTACTTCTCTTTCCTGAAAATCAAGCCAGCCCCTAGCCCAGAGTCCCAAGCTGGCTTTCTTTAATTGGGACACAGAAGGCTGACAAAAGGGGGAATCAGCCCAACTCTGTCAGCAGAGCATCTGCAGCTGGAAATGTTGCAATCTTGAGAGAGGCAGGCTGGATACCATCATACTGAGTAGGCAGGACTTAGGTGCCGCACTCAGGTTGGCTGCAGCCCAGTAAGCTCTCCAGGAGGAAAAGCAGAGGAAGAGGAGGAAAAGAGCTGTATGCAGTATATGGGCTCTTCATCTGATGCTACGGGGTCCAGGAGACCTCAGCATTGTCTGGGTCCCTGTGGCAGGTGGCTTTTGGCCTCCTTT